TGTATACATCTGCATGGATACTGTTCTCTTGGTTTTGAACCATTCTACCTTTGACATTTGCGTGTGCATTTGAAAATAAAAGCATAATTTCAAAAATCCTTACTATTGTTGTCTTGTGGAATACAAATTGTCAATGTTATCAATTTTCTGACCACAGAATGGTTACAAAATACAGACATACACAGTAAAATAGTGTAAAAGAATATTTATTGGCATATTGTCATGTGTGGACAGTTGAAAAAAATGTTGGGCAAATTAAAATATATACAAATTTACAGTTATCACCACCATACAAAAAAGGAGAACAACAGCTGAAGAACTAGTCAGCAGGTGGAGGAGTCTGTGCTGTAAAGAGATAAAACAGAATCATATGTCACATGTCTGACAATAGTGAAACTTTCAAATGTGAGCAGCCACGAATTTTGAACAGTGAGTGTCAATGGAACTTACCAAGCCATCTGCTGACTTGCTTCAGTAGCAGCTCTTGGGTTGTTGGGGCAGGTACACCAGAGAGAGGGCCAAGTCTTCTCGGGTCATCTGGTCTGGAGGGTCTCGGGTCAGCCATTCCTCTAGTGGCAGCCAGTCTACGACGCAGAATGGTTCTCTGTAGGTCATCGATGTAGCTGTAGTCCTTCTCAACCTTTTCCATATGCAGCCTCCAGCTCCTGGACCTCTTATTGTACAACTTCCCCTACCTGAAACATGAAATGTGACAGACTGTCTTAGAGCTAATTTACATTTCATTACACTCAGATAGTGCTTTTACAGGGTGTGTTAGTCAAGTGTGGAATTTTGTGCCTTGTTCAAGAGCACATCAGCCACGATTGGAGGTGTGAGGGAAAGGGTAAGGGGAGAGAGGGTAAGGGTGGTATTAGAACCTGCTACCCTCTGATGTTAGGACCCTCTCTCCAGCCAATTAGGCGATGGCTGCTGCAAATCTTCTTGGGTCCCCAGGTTGTGTTTCGTGATCAACAACATATTGCTAACATATTGTAAAACTGTTCAATGAAAATCCATTTGCCATCATCACTGTAAAGACATTTGAATACATTGACATAACTTGTATAGAAATGTTTATGATGATACATACTGAATTGTGCCATCCGCCTTTCTCTTGGCTGGTCTCTTCAGGTGATGGTTGTAGTCCAGGCCAGCCAACAAAGTACGCGCTTCATAGACAGGAGGGGAAAAGCTGTAGCGTTTGCTTGCATACATAAGTATGTGGTTATGAAACGACTCCAAATCTGCCGTTGACCTGAGTGAAAAGCAGAAATTGTAAAGATCTTGTGGTGGATTTTAATTTTAGACAAAGTATAACAAAAATTGCACATCAGCCATACATCACATTNAGAGGAAGAGCTGGGACAGCAGGAGGAAGACCCAGGGGAAGGAGACCTCAGCCGTGGGGTCTTGAACTTACGCAGGAGGACTTTGAGAGAATTCGAGACATGCGAGCGGACAGGATTGCAAATGAGGATGTAGGTTGATCACATACTAGGTTTTAATGCCATAAACTGTTTAGCTCCAAAGATGTATGAAGAAGTGTTGTAAGTGAAGTGTTAGTACAATACTTGTGCAACGTGAGATGGTTGTAGCTACATAACATCAGTTGTCTTGTAATTAGATCCATAAGACACATTGTACTTCATATTTGTTTGAATCTGACACAATACTTTTTTTTATTCAAATGGAAGTCTCAACAACATGGTATTATAGGAACATAAATGCAATTACTGAATTGGTAATGTCCACACCGGGCTCATGGTCAATGGCAATACTTAGTCATCATCTACTGGCAGAGGTGTCAAAAGTAAAAATGAAAGTACATTTGTGGTGTAATTACAACACTAGCACATGACATCACATAGCTGTTACACCATGTACTCCATTGTACCATATGAAATAGATGGACTGTGTTGTTACTGAAAAACACTGAAAACCTATCAAGGACCCACCCACAAACTTGATCCAACCAGTGCAGAGTTAACTGATTGTAAGACACAGGTCTACTGGTTACTCAGATTTCAACTTGTGTTAGAATTTAAGTTTTTTTTTTTTTTTTTTTTTTTACTTGTGACACCTCTGTCTACTTCATATGACAAAGGAAAGGCACTAGATAAAACATTTATTTCTTTACAGGCCCGAATTCAATCCCTGGATTTACAACAAGCTCGAGAAATATTGCGAGGCGCCCTGACCCGTGACCCCAGCCTGATGTTCGACTTAGCACACCGGACATCTGGCCCTCCAGGTCCGCAGCCACATCCCCCTGCAGCCCAACCTACCTGGTGCGTCTGCACCAATTGCAAGGAGATGCCAACCGACATTGAGAGAAAGTGTTGTGGAGAACCGGCCGACTCCTGCATCGCCATGATGCAACACATGGACGAGTTCATATTGTTAGAGGGGATTCTCTATTTTGCAGGGAGAATTTGGGCAGAAGTGCGGGCAGAGGCTGATGTTGTTGGACCTGGAGAAAGCAACAGAAGATTCAGGCATGCAGCCTACCGACAGTTTGTGGTGTGGCAGTATGGGGCATTGGGTCACGGCCGGCGTGTCGTTATACCCAGTTGCTGCGTATGGAGGATCCGTGACCGTTATCCTGATCCACTGGGCCAGTATAGAGGGTTTGTAGCAAGTAGGGTGTGAACACAAACTGGCGATGTACATAACTTTATAATTATTTTTATTC